TACGACTTGCTTTTAATTTTAATATTTCATCATCTCTTAGTGAAATACTTGTTTAGTGTTCACCTGAAATTTATTTACTAAAGACCTGAGCTGGTAAAAACAGAGATATCGCACTAGCTTGTGTAGCTGAAGCAGCTGTCAAGGTTTGAATCCAGACTGATGTGGTTCTTTTGCTTATGCATTGCTGATAAAGCAGTTTCTTGCTAAAGAATGATATGTTGAACAGGGTTCTGCAAGCGGAAGGGATGACCGGCATGCAAAATAGTGTGGTATCTTTGTCAATTAATTTTATTTTTTTAAATAAACATTATCTAAAAAGACAACTTATTTCTCAATTTTCTTCAGTGGAAAGACTATAAAAAGAAAATTTTACTGTTTACTTTTTTATGTATAAAACTTAAGCAAAATTTCCTTTCTGCTCTTAATAAATAAGAATTCTGAGAGCAACAGTTGTCTTCAGATGTGTGTGTTGCTCTGTCCTACTTAGACTTAGGAAGTACAATCCTGCCTGCTATTTAGGAAGCAGTTTTCTAATGCTTTTGTGTGTATAGTGTTGTCATTCCAGGATCTCCAAGAGCTTTCTCTGCTACGTAATGCAGTAAGTTTGGGGTGTGTTGTTTTTTTGTTGTTGTTGTTTTAATACCGTTTTAAATGTGGTGAACTGCATCAGGGAGGCTAAGTTAGATTTAATGGAGTGTTTAATTGCACGGTAGTGAAGTGCTGCAATGTGTGCCACAGGCCCTGGTATTGAGGGGAACTTCAGACCCTGAACAAGTGCCTAGGCTTGCTGTACAGAGCAAAGGGAGTGTCTCCAGAGCAGGATCTGCCATGGCTGTCAGGGAGCTGCTTGGGAGGCAGTTGGTGGGGAATGCTAGGAGCCTGGTGGTGGAAATCCTAGCCCTTTGGCCATGAAGCATCTCACTCAAGATGGTAAGAAAATGCCTCTGTCTACTGGGAATCCAGAGCCACAGCAGTACCTGAAGACAACTGCATGTGTCTCCTCTGAAGAAATTAAGCACAGCTCACTTTAATAATAAAAAAACCCCACCCCACCCAAAAAACCCCCCCAAAAAACCCCCAACAACAATAAGTCAAAACCGCACTTCACCATGGGAAGTGGTGACATGTATTTCCTGTGGTACCCTAGAGATTAGAAAACGTGCTTAGGAAATGGAGAGAAAACTTAGTTCCTTCAGTGACTGGAGAGCTCTTAAACCCCTTCTTCCACCTCCCTGGGACAGTACCCAGTGTCAGGCTATCATGGACAGAGAGGTCAGTCTTCCTAAGTTCTGTCCTTGCAGAGGCACAGGACTGCTTGGGCTAGAGAGAGAACACAGGAGGAGCATGGCTCTAGTTTAGTTGTTGAAATCTTTGTCTCTGTGAGGAAAGAACTGGGGCTGGCCCCTGTTTGAGATGTTGCAGGAAGTGGAACTGAGATGCTGACTTCTCCAGCCGAGCATTTAGCACGTGGGCCTGCTCTTGTCTTCCCTGGTTGGAAGAGTTTTGGTTCCTTCCTGCGGGGTGATACCGTTTCAACAAGTGAGTTGGAGGTCATGCCTCGGGATTGGGGCACTGGGGAAAGAGGTATGTCTTCAGGATGAGGAGAAACTTATGTAGGCTTCCCCACTTCGCCCTTGAACTTCCAGGCATTTCCATGCTTGTGAGCAGCTATTTTATGGCAAGCGCAGCTGAGGGCTTTTTGGGGGACCTGGCCCTGTGGGTTTGTACTGGGGATTCCCAAAGGGTCCCTGCCAGGCTGAAGCCTGAGGGAGAGTTTGGTTCCCACATCCTGACCACATACCTGGGCCACAGCTCTTAAGTGTCCTGGAAATGTTATGGTCCCAGTGTCTTGATATTGGGAGCATCTCCAGTGTGCAAGGTGGCAGCTGTCTCTTTAGTATCACAGTTTTAGATACAACTGGAATTTAGATAACTAATTTATTTCGTTTTAACTGTATTCAGGTGGGTGAAGGTCAGGTCTAGATAGTCTAGCCTCTGCTGCTGCCCTTCAAGTGGTGAGCAAGACAAAGTCTGCAAGGCAAAAGACTGGAAGGATGTTGAGGTGCTGAGGGCCTGTCTCCCCTTCCACAAACCACGTGTTTCTTTTCATCAGCATGAAACGGGTGCAAAACTCAGTTGGTTGGAAAGTCCCTTCCTGGAGTGTAAGTGGTTTTCTAGAGCTGCAAACAACGAGAATCATGCTCTCAGTCTTCAGGGTTTTAAGATTTAAGCTGCTCCAAATAACTTGTCATTGATACTGGTGAAGAACTGCAGTCTTTAAAGGGTTGTCTAGGACCAAACTTTCATTTACGAAACATGTCTAAGCTAAAGCCTGTTGGTGTTCAGGAAATGCAATAGGGCACCTTTTCCTCACCTTTTCACTACCTGGAAGTTTGAGTGCCCTCTGTGTTCAGCCAGCCGGGAAAAAATTCCCATTTCTATCCTGATAAAGCCTCAGTGTTATCAGGGAATAGTTACTGCTGGTAATCCAAGCCATATGAAGTGTTGCTGTGGGTATAGGTATTGTATAAATGCCTGTAATAAATAATGGAATAAATGAACTTTACCCCTCTCACTTGTACATTACAGCACTGTCTTGTGATCATAGGTTATCTTAGATATGCTTGTAGAGCTAAGGCTGCTCAAGGAGTTGAGATGGGGAACAATTTTTGTGGGCTCAGCCTGATCTTGTGACATGCTCTTTCACTTTCTGTTGCATTCAGAAGACACTTAGAAGGAGGAACTTTTGCAACAGCAGCCTGTTGAGCTTCCTGGAACACCTGTGTCTGAGTATACTCCCTTTAAAACAAATACAACCTGTTCTCTGTTAAGCAAGTTTTCCCCTAAAACTGTAAAGGCAAGCTGAAAATTTCCTGTTGGAGTGTTGCCTCCTCTTCTATGAACTGGTAAAGGAGTTCCCTTGCTTTGGCAAGGAGTTCAACACAGGAAAGAGACAAGTCAAGATACCTCAGGCCCTGTTTCTGTTACATGTGAGTGTCACTTTTGTTTCATACTAGTATTTTTCTCTTCTTTCGTTCCTACCCTGCATGCACCAGGTACATCCAGTGCTGCTATGCCCCATCTTTTGAGTTTGAAATGGAGTTGCAGAGAGGTTGAATCATTTCCAGAGAGCGGGATGTGAAGACTGCAGCAATTCTCAGAGGTTATAGCCAGGTGGGAAGTGATCTGAGGTAGGAGCTGTGTCTGTTATTGTTCTGGAGCAATCTGAAAGCACTTAGCAATAATGACTGCGTTGACTCTGGTAGGTTAAATATGCCCAGGACTATTTGCTGTCACTGAGGCCAGCTGGCAGAGGGTGACACATGCCATAATGTGAAACTTAGCTTCCAAGCAGGTCAGCTGCATAGCAGGAATTGAACTGCAAATCAGGAGCGATTCCCAAGCTGACTCCCAAACCATGTCTGGAAGTTGTTTGTACGAGTGTGAGTTGGCTAATACTATGCTGGGAACTATGTTAACAATTTAGCAGAATAAATGAGCACTTTCCAGTTCAGGGAAACATTTCTTGGCACTGTTTTATTTACTGTTGTAGTCTTAGATCAAGTGTTAGACAAATCTTGAGCAGGAAGAAGGATTTAAAAATACGCTGTGAGTTTTGCTGATATGCTGCAGTGTGACCTGAGCTCAGCTGGATGTGCCCATGCTCCTAACAAACAGCAGCTGAGTTTACCCCAGTGTTTCTAGCAGCAAACACAGTGCCCCCACCTCATCCACCATACAAGCGGGTGGTTTAAGAGAGGCAGACTGAGTTCAAAGAAATAAATAGGGTATTTTATTCAGCATCTGCCCTTTCAGCACGGTGCTGCCTTTCTTCACTGATCTAGACTGATCATAGGGATGTGCGTACTTCCTGCAATATGCTGTCTGACCACCCTCTGGGCATTAAAGGGAGGGCATTAAAGCTCTTGCCAGATTGCACCAGTCAGGTGACTGAGCAAGCATGATAATATCAAGCTGCTTTTCAATGTTCAGGCCAACCCAACTCAAGAAACCCTTAAAACTTGCTGATCAGGAATGACATCAGTCACACAGGCTTAGGAAACAAGGACAGAGCTGTCAGGAAGAGTAATACCGTACTGAAAGGGAAAAGATGTGAGTGGAGTGTGTGAGGGGAGAGATTTGGGGGTCCTGGGGCAGATTATGCTCCTGGGCTGCTTTTCTTTCTTTCCAGCATCTTCAGCCACCACTTGTAGCTCCGAAGCTGCTGCTGGATGGTGGGGAGAGAAGTTAGTGCCAGAAAGGTGCCTGGTTGCTCCTGTTCCTCTGTACCTGTTCCCACTGTCCCCTTTTGTCGTCCTGTAGCCAACTGAGAAGCTGAGCCGAGAGCTGATGGCTTCCCAAAGGATGCTTTTCTGGGCTGGTCACTGGGAACGGATCTAGGTCCCTTTTTCCACAACAATACTCAAAGGAAAAGTGCTTTAAGTAACTTAAGATAGTATTTCAACCTATTCTTTGTTCAGCAGGTAGCACCAACCCTTCTAACTCACTGTAGTTAACCCTTGCTGACATCTGTAGCACTGGCTACGTTTGAACAACATTTTTTTTTTTTTAATTTAAGGATCAGTTTTTGTGTATCTCTGTTTTCTTTTCAGCAGCTAAGGAATAACCTTCTATTACATTTTTCTCTGGCAGGAAATAAGCAACCACACAATCCAGTCCCTTATGTGATTTCTAATTCTTCTTTTCTAAAGAGCTACTGCCAAAGCAAGGTCCACTTCCTGTTTTTCTCAATGAGACGGTGTTACGCTTCACAACCAAAAAGGTCGGCATGTTTTCAAAATGGTAATGAACAAGCAGGACAAGGAGGCGGCAAGCGGTCTTTTCAAAAGGGACAATTCTTGATAGGTGCCCTTGATTTTCCACACACATAATTTTCTGCTGGCAGGTGAACCTTTTTAAATGAAAAAAACAACCCACAGAAAAAGACCACTAACCTTTAATTTCCTGTAGTTAAACCTGTAACACGCTCTCTGCCCATGAGGGGGAACTTGTGGAGCCAGGGAAGATACCCACAGTGCCAAAAATCCCTCCCCCCCCCTTTTTTTTTTTTCCTCTAACAAATAAGTCTTGTTCCCCCCTCCAAACAGACATGGGGGCTGAACAAAAATCAACAATTTTCTTTCAGCAGGGCTAGAGAGTTTCATTGCTGTTCAGTTTGTACCCTTTGTCCAGCTGTGTTTCTGTCACATTTGTGCGTCACTGCACAAATAGTTACTTCTAAAATAAATGCCCTTTGCATCTGTCTTGTTTTCGTTACATGTTCAATAGCTCTGAAAGTGAAAGCTGTCTGGCAGTCAGCCTGCTCATTTTTTAGTGTTTATGTAAAATCTCTCACCGTGGCATTCCATACCACTGCAAAAGTTGTATTAAACTATATTTTTGATAACATCTGCATGTGTGCACGTCTAGTGCGTACTGAGTGATACGGCAGCTTGGCTATAACATCCCAGAGAGGAGGATGAAGCTCTGCCTTTGACCCCGGCCCTTGCTGGGAGAAGTATCTGGCCCTGGTTTGCCTGGGAGGGAACCAGGCAGATCTACAGCCAGCACCAGCTTCCCCTGCTGCAATATTTATTCCCTGGATGAGTGCATCAGGAAAGGGGGAGAACCATAATTTAGCTTTAAATCTGCTGCAGGCATCACATTTCAGAGACGGTGCTTCAATGAACTGCAAGGTTTTAAAAGAAGTTGGCATCAAAACCAGAAACAAGGAGGACGTCGACATGTTTTACTACTGGATTTAACAAATACTTCCTCCCTATCCAAAGCTGTTGATCCACAGTTTCCCTCTACTACAAAACACAGCCCTGTGGCCTTCACAGTTTGCTTACAGCACAAATAAATAACCTGTTGGAAAAGAATATTTTTGTTTCTTTAAAGAGCTAAACTGGGCTCTAAGTGGTACCAACGAAGCAGACAGCCGCTATAGAGGAAACAGCTAAAATCCACCACGACTGTTCCTGCCGGTATTTAACAATGAGCATATCTTGACAGAAAATAAAGTGAAACAGTTGTTAATAATAGAAACCTGGGAAACTTATTCAATAGGATGTTACTTATTTGCAAAACCTAGGTTTGTTTTAATTAGAAATAACACTATTTCCTACTCATCCTTTTTTTTTTTGCCCCCCCTCTAACAGTTACTCTACAAAGTTTGTTGTCTTGCAGCCAGCTCCTTGACTTCCCTCCCTCGCTGCGTGAGGTCCTGATGGGGCCAAAGACTCTGCGCGGGGCCAGGCACTGAGTTGCAGTTTGTCCCTGTTGCTAGCAAGATTGGAAAAGAAATCACAGCCTGCTTGCTAGCTCTGTGCAAAAGAGTTTTCCAGTGCAATGATGCCCTGAGGAAAAAAGAAAGGGTAGAAACTGGTGTTCGGTGCTGCCCACGCATCTCATGAGTCACAGATGGGCAGGAACCGGCGGACAGATCCAGCAGAGTCCAGAGTGCTCTGCCCTTGGACGGGGCACGTGACGAGTCTGCGCAGCGTGGTGCCGCTGGCGGGGACCTGCTCAGTCCCAGCCCTGCTCCTGTGTTCCCAGGCTGGACTTCAGGAGTCCCTTCGGTGCTTCTTCTGTTCGTGGTACTCTGTTATTTTCTGCTGGAAATACGCTGTGGATGAGAAAAGGTCGTTAGTGAAATGCAAGCGTTTGGGCTGGGGAGGATACAGGGCTGCACAGCCCGAGTCCTGGGGAGTGGTATGCACCCTGGGGGCCAAACCGTCCTGGGTTACGGACAGCTGCACCCAGGTGAAATCGGGGTTGTTGCAATTCCACCCATCCCTCTCACCTACCCAAAATGGGCTTTATTATGCTGGGTTAGCATAAGATTTTAACCCCCGCGTTCACTCCTGTTCAGTTTTTGTGTTTCCTCTCCAACAGCAAGGAAGAGAGAAAGCGGGAGACCCTGGGAACGTGAATAGCCAAAAAGGTGACGTAGACTGGGAATACAATGAGAAAGCTGGGATTGTGCCGTCCCTCTCTCCCAACCCCAGGCAGACCCAGGTTCGTGTCTGCCCTATAAAGTCTGACCTAAAAGGGCAGAGAAAGCAGCAACCGAGGTACAGTGCCGGGCCCCCAGTCCCCCGGGCAGGCTGCAGACGGGCTGGAGAGGGACCCGCCACGGGCACCGTCTGCCGCTCACTGCCACGTGGCACCGTCCAAGGGGATGTTTGCTTTGCTCGACGCGGCAGTCGCTGATAGAGCGCAATGACTGCACCCTCTTGCACTCTTGAGTGCAGCGAGACCTCGGGGGTGGCAAGTCCCGGGTCAGGATGTCTCTGGCTACTGGAGATGTTTTGCCCCGTGCGCTGTAAATCCCCTGGAAGGGGAAAGGACCAACCCAGCCGCCACGGGTCCGCGCTGGAGCTGGTGGCAGAGATGAGTCAGTGCTCACAGGCGGCGCAGCCAGGAGCCAGCTCCCAGCTGCTGCCTGCGTCCAAGCCAAATATTTGCGCTGCTACTGGCATATTTGCCTAAACACTGAGCTCTCCGTAAGCCTGCCCGCTCCCCAGGCAAGCAACAGGATCTAAAATCAGCCCAGGGATTTTTTTTTGATTGCTTGACAGGGACAGAGAAATGCAGCTGTTGAGAGCAAACGGGTGCTACTTGTTGCCCTGAGCATCCCCAGCCTTGAGCTGCATCCCTCTCCGGGCACGGGGCCTCTCTTTCCCTTAACGAAATAGCCCAGGACTTCGCAGAGCTCACTCGACTGGAGAGGGAAGGAAAACCGGGGCCGTTTACCTTCCTGGGGGATCCTGCTCTTTTCCGCTTCCTCAATAAATAGGGAAAACATGTTCGTCTTCACAAACTTCTTCACAAACTTGCGGTTGGTCTTGGAGGCGATGGCTTTGCAGAAGGCTCGCTCCTGGAAGGTGCCCGAGCCGTTTTTACTCCACTTGATGTGCGAGGCATAGTGGCCAACCGTTCGGACAAAGAACTGCACAAAGGCTTCGGAGACAAGCGTGTTCACCTGCTCGGATGCTGGAAGAGGACACGGAGCATGAGAGGCGGGGATGGGACCTCTGAACATAGAAAGGATGGACCTATTTTAACCTGGCTGGTTCGCAGACTCTGTTTGCATCCTGAGAAATTATTTGCTTAAAACCTCCCTCTGCCAGTAAACCAAGATCAGACTAATTTTACTGAGGGAGCACTGGCTGTGTTTGCTTTCCAGGGTGGTGGCATCTTTGTGGGCCAAATATTGGCAAAACCTGACTTTTTCAGCAGAATTAATTGTTCCTGCTCTCATGTTTCGCAGGACAGGGGAAAGGCCAAGGGATTTCTCTCCTGTGGCTGCATTTTATTGCAAATTGGGGCAGAAACATCCCAGGCCGGGTCTCTTTAGGAAAGACATTTCACTGAGGACTCCGGCCATCTGTGGAAGGCAGCTTGCATCCGTTTTACCGTACGTAAAGAGACGCCCTTACTGTGTATGTTGTTGTTGTTGTTGTGCCTGTTCAGAGACGTCAGCATCTCATTCTGCAGCTTGATGGGCAAGATCTCCTCCTCATCGCCGACCTGGAAGGCAACGGGGCTGTGAAGCAACCAGCACCGGTGGGAACCTGGCTCAGATGGCCGCGGGCAGCGGTTAGTGCAGCCCATCAGTGGGGCTTTCTGCAGAGCTCATTAATTAATTATCATTGCAGGGTGCTGCAGTGATGCTGGGAGTGGGATGCCCGACACACGGACCCTGCTGCTCCAGCTCACGACAAGAGAGATGCAGCGGATGGAGACACCCCTTTGCGGGACATTATCCCTGCATGGGTGACACCGAGATGTCTCTGCCCCCAGAATGTGAAATCCGCCAGGTAGCTGGGACCAAGGGTGGAAAGGGACCCTTCCCAGGGCTACCCAGGCCAGGCGAGCCCACCCCCACGCCCTGCACGGGGGGACCTACCGCCCGGAGGATCTTCCCTTTGCAGAGGTCAACTATCAGAGCCTGGAAGAGAGCAGAGAGCAACCAGGTTTAGTCCTACCAAGGCAGCCAGGCTTCCTCCCACCCGTTTTATTATCAGACCTCTGCGTCCGCAGCCCACGAGGGCGGCAGGAGAAGGATCGGTCCCTCTGTGCTGGAGGGACCCGGGCAGGGGAACCAGGGCATCCCCCCACGGACCGTGTTTGCCCCAGGCTCGGTGGCTTGTTCCCACACAGCCTTTCTCTGCTTCTGCAAGGTTGGGACGATGCCAACAGCCAGCCTGGCCGACAGCAGCTCCCCGAGCCCCCAGGGTCAGGGCTGCGGGTCCTGGGGTGGCCGGCAGCACCCAGGGGGACGTGGAGGTGTTGCCCCAGCTGCCAACAGGAGGGGACATGCAAGAAGCCCCAGTCTCCAGCCTCCCTCAATGGTAAAAAGGCACAACCAGAGCCTTCACCCCTGGAGCCAACACAAACCCAGGGCCACAGACTAACCGATGGTTCCATCCAGATGCTTTCCCCCACCCGGATAAAATACCTCCTCCATCGGCTGGTCCAGGACCCGCTCCAGGTGCCGCATCTGGATGCCGACCATGAAGGGCGTGGGGCAGCAGACGGTGTCGAGCAGGCACTCGGGGACCACAGGGATGTAGGTGTGAGCCCAGGTGAAGGGGTAGAGGAGAGCAGCCACCGCGTGGATGCACTGCGACAGGACGCTGTGGGACAAGGAGCCATTGTGGTGGCATTGCACAAGGAAAGAGGATTTCACTGCTCGGAGGGAACATCCCACCCCGAGCTCAGCTACGTCCTGCGCTCCTTCAAGGGGCTTTTTTTTGTGTTTTATTTTTAAATAAACAGATCAGGACTCACCTCAGCTCCTCCGCCAGGAAAATGAGCCGTCGCTCCAACACGGCGGAGGCAAAGATGTGCAGGATGAGGTGGGGGCTGAGCCGCTGGAGCAGAGCCTGAAACTCCACGTGCTCCAGGTGGGCGTCCACGGGCCGCGTGAGCTTGATGAGCTGCCAAGGGAGAGCCACCAAACCCTGGCTTAGGAGGTGCAATGCTCCCCCTGCACCACCCTGGCCCCCTGAGAAGGTGATCTGGGAGGAATTAATGACCCCGAGTTTGCAGCATCTGCATCACATCGCTCTGCAAGGGACAAACCTCATCTTGTCCTGCCTGGAGATTTGGGCTGTGCAGTGCTGAGGATGCAGGAGAAGCCAGCGGCGATGTATGCTGTGGCGTTTATTTATTGGGGCACTGGATTTTTAACCAAAATGCCTCTTTTCTGCAGTGCTGACAAGTCCCTGGTAGGAGACAGGCAGGGAAGTGCTCCCACCTTGGCGTCTGACAGCTCATCTGTAAGCAGCAGCTTCCAGGAAGGGGAGGAGGGATGAGGGCATGACTTTTGCTATAAAACCCACAAAAACTTCCTCAAAAGACTCTCTGGGAGGGCCAGCTTGCCTCATACTAGCTAGGATGGCCCAATACTGAATTATCTAATGGATATTTGCAGGTGGTCTGCCCATTCTGCTGGCTTTGCCCCAGACAAGAGTCTCCCAAATCCGGTCGCTACCTCTGCCCTGATGCGGGCAGCCCCGAGACGGCGACCGCTGAAGGGTTAACAGGACCGTGCAGCTCATGACACAGTCCTGGCCCCTCTCCCCAGCTTTACGGGGGTGGGGGGAAATCCCCTTCCTCCACGTGCCAAGCCGCCTTTCCAGCAAAGCAGTATCTTCCCAGCCAGCAGCATAGGGCTTGGCTGGGCTCCGCAGCCCCTTTCCAGCACAAATCCTGCACGATCCCCAGCTCCCAGCTCATGCAGTACCCAGGATTTATTTTTCACCCCTTTTCTTGTTTTCTCACTGATCTCTTCGACTTGCTCCAGCCCCTGCCCAGAGCCCCAAAGCGCAGCTCTTTCGAAGAATGCCCTCATCGCAAATCCTCCTCCCGTCACCCCCAGCCGTGCTCGCTGCAGCCTGGCCCGCAGCCAGAGCATTGAGCAACCTGCAAAGCCCTTGCACAAGCCTTCCTGGATGAAGAAATCTCTTGCAATTTGATAGCCAGCTGCTAAATTGCACTAGAGAGGAGGGATCTTGCTCTCAGAACCCACCCTGGCAGGACGCATCCCTGGGATGCTCAGCACCGAGGTTATTTTGCCCAGTCCCAGGTGCCAAGCGGCAGATCCTCCCGCTTCTTCCACGCCAGCTTTGCCACAAGAGAAGGAAAAAGCAAAAGAAAAGGCTCTGCCTGTGCGAGCCTGGGCCGTGCGTGGGCGAGATGAGCCCCGTGGGCACCGTGCCCATACCGGATCTCCTTTCCGCAGGTAAGGCCTAGGCTTGCCGCACGCCTGTGCCATGCCGACGGCCTGCTCCTGATGCTAAACTAGGACGGGTGTCGAGGCTGAGAGCTGAGCACTGCGGTGCGGAGGGGAAGCTGCAGCCTGCAACACCCCGCAGTGGCCCCAGCACCACTGCGCGCCCCAACAGCCCCGCATGCTGCACCCGGAGGTGCGAACGCCAGCTCACGAGCAGGGTGCAGCCAGCCCCGCTCTATGGCCCCCGGCACGATGCACCACTCTGACGTAAAGGCTGTGCAAGCGCCGACGTGTTAAGAAACGGCGTCCGGGGAGGTTTTGTGCTGGCAGCTCCAGCTCGAGGCTGATGGAGCTGCAAAGATGCTGCTTCGCAAGGACGCAAAGATGGGGCAGCATCACCTGTGGATGGGCTCCATCCTCATCCTCACTGCTTACTGCTCTCCTCCTGGACCAGGAGGGAGGTGGCACTCATATTCCCAGGGCACGAGGCCCCTGGCAGCCCGACCCACCACCCACTGCTCCAGTGAGCACCCATGGGTGCTGCAGGTGTGGAGGATGCTCCTGGAGATAGCCTGGGCTCCCCACGTCGGAGCAGTCCAGGAGGTGCCGCTGAGCCCCTGAGACCCCCACCAACCTCCGTGCCTGACTCAGGGATGAAGCTTTTAATTGTGACGGTTTTCCCTGGAGCTGGGAAGGGCGATTCCCGAAGGCCCTGCATGAAGGGGTAAATCACCGCCATGGAGATCTGGCGCCTCTTCTCCACCTCGTCCAGGATCTGTGGGAGAAAAAAGTGAGCTGTGAAACCCCGGCAGGCAACAGACTGGCTGGCCGGGCCCCCACCGTGCCAGAAAAAAAACCCCCCCCCGTGCCAGATTGAAGCCACCCATCCCTACCTTGGAGAAGAGCCCGAAGCAGCCCAGGCAGCTGATGATGCAGAAGACCTCAGGGAGGCGGACACCACGGCCGGATGGCTGGAAGAGGATGGGAGAAGGGTTTGAGCATCTCCCAGCCCCACTGCACTGGCTCCCCGCTCTCCCCAGAGATCCCCCCTGGCTCCCCTCATCCCCCCAGAATGCTCAGTCACCCACTGGGGAATTTTCAGAGCTGGGGCTCAGGCCAAGGACACAGTTGATGCTGTAAAAGCAGAGGGTGCCCAGGACCTGGAGAAGGCAATTCAGATGCCAAAGCTGTTAATCATTTTGGTGCAAAGCCCTCTGGCGTATTCCCAAACTTTCCTTGCCCCCAGACACGTGTCCTCTAAGATATCCTGCCCCACCATCCTTGGGGCTAATCCTGCTTCCTACTGAAACAGGGATGGGATGAGTGCCCAGGCTTTTTTTCCCTTTCCAACTGGATTATCCTGGGTCCGTTTGCTCTCTGTGCTTTGAGCCCTCCAGACATCCAGTTCAGACAGCCAGAGCTCAGCCCTGGATACAGAAGTGGGCAGGTTCGCCCGGGAATGAAAGGGTGGTGGGATCCAGCAAGTCACCGAGCCGTGGCATACGGCCCTGTGGCTTTATGTCCCTATTTAAGCAGGCTGTGTGTAAATCAGCAGCCAAGGAAGACCTCCATCCCACCTCGCAGCCCCCAAGCTGGCCAAATCCATGAGTTGAGAAAGGCAGCCACCGTTCAGGAGCAATTTTTGGGGATGGGGCTGAGGGCACCTGGCTCCTTGGCATCTGGATGGGTGCACGCACATCCCCATCCTGATCCCGAGTGGGATTCGCAGCCGTCCTGACCGCTGCGGCCAAGGGAAAGGAGCCAGGGAAGTTGTGGGAGATTGATGGGGAGGCAGCGGCCACCAGTACAGGGAACGGCACCTCCCAGCCGTCGCATCTCCTGGTTGCATTTCAGGCCAGCCCTGGGCTACAGTAAATGCCGCTTTCCTCTATCCAGCATCCAACTGATGCCCCAGCAAGAAGAAAGCTCAAAAAAAAAAAATCCCTTTGGGCACCCCCTTGCTGCTTGTCGTCATCTTTGTCAAGGCAAGTGGCTTTCTAAGGCACGTCCCCAAGAGTTGTACTTTGGGCATGGCAGAAGGCATCGTCTCCCACCACGGGGATGGGGTGGCACGGCCCCCACCAACCCAGCGATGGGTGTACGGGCGGTGGGATGCTCACCAGCAGCCGCCTGCAGTAGCCGATCTTCCTGCTGCCATCCACGTTGGTCAGGACGAAAGAAAAGGTTTCGCTGCAAGGAGAGACAACGCATGGGGACGGGACGGCTCTTCCAGCCCGCAGCCCTCAGGGGTACGACAGCACGGGGTGGGAAACCACAGCCAAGACCCCGCAGCGGGGCAGGTACCTGGTGAACTCAGTGACAGGGGCCCAGTTGTTGCCGTCGGGGAAGCAAAAGAGGGGGATGGCTTGCAAGAGACGTTCCTCCTCCTCCTTCTGGCCCTTCAGCAAGTTCTCACGCTGGAACGAAGCGATGCCAAGAGTCAGGGTGATGGAGGGTGCCCATAGCCCCAGGGCTCAGCTGGGAATGGGCTGGGATGGGAAGGGCAGTGTCCCAAAGCAACCCCCGGCTCAGACCGAAGCAGAGAGTGCCTGCACATCCCTGAACAAGAATCTCCCAAAAATCCAACTTTTGACTCTTTTACCACACTGATAGTGGAGTAAAGCAGAGGCACTCAGGGGCCCCTCTGCAAACGGGGGCTCTCCCCATGTGCCACCTCCCCAAGATGTGATTTTGATGCCATGGTCTCCCCTTCTGGGACAGGAGACCAGGGAGCACCCCGGGATTTTCCTCCAGGGGTTTGTGGCCCGGGGCTCGGACTGCAGGCAGGGACAGACGGTCCCAGCAACCCCAGCCCACGGCAGGCAAAGCCCTGGGGTTTGGGTCTGCGACTCCAGGACACGGGGTATTTTTCTGTTCTCCTCCCCTGGCTCTAGTGATGGGGAAGGAGCAACATCCCTTTTTCTTCTAAATTCGGAAAACTCATCTTCCCAGAAACACAGGACTCAATACCTTTGGGAACTGGTAGGTTATCTTGGGTTCGTAATGTCCATCTGACATCTTCTTCAGCGACACCACCACCAAGTACTCGAAGAAAAACTGCCCAGCAGAATAGAGGATGGAGCTCCGCTCTCCTGGTTTCCCCTGTGGCACCCGCGAAGGGTTGTTTTCTGCAGCAGAGGCCTCCTCTTTTCCTTCTGTAGCCAAAAAAACCCACCCCAAAAAACAGAGCAGAGTGAAATGAAAGGCCAGGAGGTGTCCTGATAGCAGGAGAGGAGATGCAGAGCTACACATGAACTGGCCAAAGTGGCTGAAGGGAACCGGGACCTGGTGCACAGGGTGTTTTGGTCCCTGACAGTGAACAGCTGGGGACATGTGGGCACAAGACACGGAAAGGAAAGAGAAATGGCTTTTAGGAGTCTTTTGGAGAAAATCAAAGTGCTGTCAGACACCCCCGGCCCTCCTTTGCCCCATCCCAGGGAGGGCAGAGGGACTCTCAGAGTGAAGCCAGCACATGGGATGGCGGAGAGCAGATGGTCTCTGCAGAAAGCACCTGTGGAAAGGTGTGGGAATGTTTTTATAGCAGTTAATTTTATTCCCTTAGGGGGAAAAAACAGCAAACAAACAGCACAGATCTTGTTCGAGCACCTCCAAAGGCTCCAACAAGATGAATCCCAACCTCTCCCCACCAGATTTCCTCAGTCCTGGGAACTGCTGATTGCAAATGAGATACTCAAGGGTTTTCCCTAAACCACAGCTCCCAAAGCAAAGCAATTCCCTGAGATTACATCCCATTTCTTGTTCGGCCGGTTGGGGAGGACAGCTGGGGAGCGTCAGCTGTCACAATCCAAAAAACTAGAAATAAGAGTGAAAAGAGCCCAAGCCGACATCTCCAAAGGCCCTGGGATGATCATGGTGGGGCAGCAAGATCCGAGGGCTGGGAAGGAGAGGGGTTAAATGCTGGCAGAAGGCTGCAGCCAGGCCATGCCACAGCTATTCCTTCTCCCAGCAGCCACTTGCGACTCTCTAAATCCCCGGTTCCTGGCACTGAAACTGTCCCAGGCTTGGTCCTGGCTCTGATTACGGCGGGGAGCTGGAACAGAAATGCTTGAGCTGCTCCTAGGAATAACAAGCAGGAAAATAAACGTGTGGCTGGATGAAATTTTTCCCCGCACCCTGGAGTTTGGCCCTGGGCTCTTTTGGTTGTGCTGCAGCTCAGCAGGGCAAGGCACGGCTGTGGCCGGCTGCTCTCATCATCCTTCTCCTTCGTGCGCAACATCCTCCTCCGAAAGCATTGCTGGTGGACACTCCACCCCACGTATCCCCCCCGGCTCCGTAGCTGCTTCCTTTAGTCTGGAAACACCTTTCCAGCCTCCATTCCAGGTCAGCAGGAGCTGAAAGGAGCAGAAAGCTCATCCGAGGAGGTGACACTCACAGTCCCATCACGGGATGTCCCTTCCCAGGGATGAGAAACGCCTTTCCCAGCTCGGGGTGGGGAGATGCGCGAAGCCGCCCCCGCGTGCACCCCGAGGCCGCTCCACCTCTGCATGCAAAGTCCTTCCTCTTGGCAAGGTGAAATTCATCCCAAAGAGGTCCTTTGCAGCAGGGGAAAGCCCGGGAGCATCCCGAGGATGAGACCCGGCTGCAGACACCTCTGGTTTGTCCTTGGTGGGGATCACCCATGTGACAGCCCAGCAAGGTGCTCCGGGCCAGGGAAAAAAGGTCAACAAGATGCGCTTTGCTTCTCCTGCTCCTCCTTGGGATGCTCCAGCAATGGCTTCAGCAGTCCAATCTCACCTATGGGGCCAGGGCAGGAGGTTGTTGTTGGGGGGGACCCCAGGGAACCATGCTGTGCAGCGGGGAGGGCTGCTGGCGTCCCCCATCCTCGCTGGACGCTGGTGTCAGTTGTTTTCCCATCACAGATTGCCAGGGTAAGGTAAAAGTCCAGCTAAATTCTGCCTACCCAGTCCCATCCTCTGTTTCAGAGAATACAAGATGCGCTCTCAAGCAAGGGCTGCATTTGCATCATGTCCATGGCATTTTCAAACAGCCGAGTAAAACTCGCCGCTCCGGGGAGGCTGGTCCTGCCGGGCTGCAGGTCTGCCTCTCGCAGACGGACCCACGTGCCTGCCCGAAGTGCGACCTGGTGCAGCGAGCCCTGCCGAAAGCGCGGCGTCACCTGGCAGTGCTCCCCTGTGCCAGGTCTGGTTGCAAAGCCCTCGCTGGCAGAGCCTAAATCCCTCCGGGACCGTAATACTCCATCCCTGGGCTGGAAGGTGCAGCCATCATGCAGCATTGGATGGGTTTAATGTGGTATCAGAGGTCCCAGCACTCCCCAAAATCGGCAGGATTTGCAATCCCTCATGTGTCCCGGGGACACAAGCCACTGTCACAAGAGCTTTGGCCAACGACTCTCCCGTAGCCCAAGTGGGCAAGACTTGGGGACCACCCCACAGCCCCCCCCGGCAGCACGAGCGTCCTCTGCGAGGAGGGGAATGAGCCAGGTGGCTGGGGGGGCTCACGCAGCTCCTGGATGGAAAGCGGCTGCCGGTGCTGTGGATTTTCACCCCTCCCTCTGCCGGGCATGGAGAAGGCAAAGGCTGCCGCGATGCGCGCTGGCCCATGCGGAAATGGCACCGGGGCTGCCAGCGTTAAAAGAAAAAAACACTTTGCTGTGCAACCAGCTTCCCCGACCAGAGCAGGGTTTTCTTATCAGCCGAGGGCTGCGCTCAGACCCATGTTGTGATGTGGCACAACCTGTTTCTTTCCTCCCAGAAAACTCCCGGGCTGCAGCGTGCCAAAACCTCCCGGCCCGGCACGATGGTTTGCAGGGGAGCTCTGCTTCCCGCGCCATGCAGCCGCCCACCTGCCCCAGCAGAGAGGAAATGGCTTTTGCTTTATCGAACCTTTTCTGCTGAGCTTGGAAAAACATGTATCGCACCCAGAGCAAGAGCCAGCCAGCACAAAACAGACCTCGGGGGGGTGGGGGGGACTTGCAGTGAGCCCCCCCAAATCCACAGGTTGCCCCAACCTGCTCTGCTGTGCTTTGAGATATGGCAGGCCAGAAAACCCTGACGATCCATCCTGTATCTTGGAAAAGCTCACAAATCCCAAAGGACCAATTTCTGCACCGTCCTCTAAAGGCTCCGCAACACTGACCTGCCTTGGGGGCACCGTGCCCCCGCGGATGCCCGCGATGCCACGCTCCGGTGTGCCCTGCGACGCTGCGCTCGGTGGGCAAAGGGCTGGGAAGGCTTTTGGGCATGTGATAATAGGGAGCCTGTGGAGCTGCCCCTGGGATGGGGTAAACCCCCGGGGGACTGGAAACCTCCCCAGGGGATGGGGTAGACTCATTTGGGACGGGGTAGGCTCCCAGGGGATGGGGTGCAGCTCCCGGGACGGGCTGAACCCCCAGGGGATGGGGTGTGCTCCTGGGAGATGGGGTGCGCTACCGGGGGCTGGGGTAAGCCCCTGAGGATGGAGCAAGGGAGATGGGGTAAGCCCCGGGGGCAGACGGCCCCACGTGGGCCCCGCCGC